AATTAAATATTTAATAATAAATTGATTTAATAATTTATTATTTCATAAATAAAAATTTTTAAAAAAACCTGATTTTTAAATTTTCAAACTATAAACATGATTTTTGAATTTGTGTAAACTAAACACCTTATTTATAAATTTTTTTTAAAAAAAAAAATTTTAAATTGAAAGTTATTTGGGTTGGGCCCTAAGTCCAGTTCGCCTGCACCGATCTCTACTGCGCTCCGCCCCTAAATTGTTAAGGGGAAAATTACATGAGGCAGGTATTTAAAAATTACTTTTTAAAAATCAGGTCCAAATGTTATTTATTCAAAAATCAGGTAACCCTAATTTTTCACTCCTAACCCCTCACTTCTCTGCGCCTCCTCTTCCCCTTCCCCCTCTTTCTGTAAATGGATCTCCCCTCCCCTCTCTCAGTCCCCGGTCCGACAACGTAGCTCCGGCGTCGCGCTCTACCTTTCTCCTCCCCTCTCTCCCTTCTCTATCCCCCTCCACAGTAGTGTCGACGCTGCTGCCGGCATCAGCAGGAGTGAAGTGGACGAGATGTTGTTGGTGGACGTGGCGACCGCCAATTTTCTGAGACATTTTATCGCGGTGGTGGGAGTCGCTGCAGCGTCGTGGTTGAGATGTTGCTGGTGGAGGACGATCGCCTGTTTTCTCTCCGTGGTGGATCTGACGGCGGTGGTGGCAGTAACAATGGTTTTTGTTGGTAGAGGTGGTGGTGGATCTTGTTGTGGCGATGGTTTAAGAGTATATGTAACTAATGATTTTTTTTTTTAAAGTAGTGATGAGGTAGCAGTGGTAGTGGCGGTGGTTGTGGCGATGGCAACGATGGTGGTTGTGGCGATGGCGAGGCGGTGCGTTTCTGTGGCTTATAAAATAGGTAATATGTGATTGGTAGTGGTGGTGGTGGTGGTGGTGGTGGTTGCCGGTGGCTTTGTTAGTGCTGTTGTGGTGATGGCGGCGTGGTGAGGGTGGTCGAAAGTGGTCATAGTGGTAGTGACGGTAGTCTGTGACCAAATGTTTGGTAATCTGTGACCAAATTATTCAATAGTGACCTAAAAATTTAATAATCTGTGACTCAAAAATAATCTGTGACCAACTCATTTAAAAATCTATGACCTCAAAATAATTTGTGACGTACAAATTTTTTGATTTGTGACCTCGAAATAATATGTGATCAATTAATTTTAAAATATGTGATCTGTGACCTATAATTATATATTTGTGATCACTAATTGTATAATTGTGACCTAATTAATAAATATTTTTAATTAGTTATCCAATACCTGATTTTTGAATTTTCAAACTATAAACCTGATTTTTGAATTTTCAAACTATAAATCTGATTTTTGAATTTGTGTAAACTATACACCTGATTTATGATTTTTTTCCCCCATTGTTAAGGGGAAATTAGGCCCAGTACGACCTGGATACTTTAAAATTGATCAATGCACTTAACATTTTAACTTTTTTTACATGCGTATTAATTACGTGTAATAAAGAAAGATATTCAAAACCCTTCTTTCAATCTCTCATTCCACTGTCCCCAATTCCTCATTTCTCAGTGCCTTCCTCTTCCTTAAACTTCCCATTGTTGACCATCTCCGCTCTCTCCCACTTGGATCCGTCGATGATTACCATGCTAGCATGGATCAACTAGGCTTTTCGGGCAACCGTCTCCAACAATTGAAGTCTTTCTAACAATAGGTCTGATAGTTGCTAATGTCTTCGTTTCTGCATCTTTATTCTAAGAAAATTAATAGATGATTTGAGGAAGATTATTCTGGCAATTAGGGAATCATAGTTATGATTTTAGCAGTTGTTTCGTGCTACATGTGAGTCTTACAATTTTCATTTTAATGAATTTTATGCAAGTCACTGGCTCGACTCTAAATCTCTATATTAGCTTATTCTCCCCATGTTTCGAGCCCCAATGTCGATTCCAAGATCAGCCATTGTTGGCTAAAATCATATGGTTGGTTATCATAGCCGATGACTTGTTCCAACATCTGAAGCAGCTCCTACATAAAATATTTTTTGAGAAGTTGATTTTTGAAATTTTACAAACAGAAAAATATGTATTTTCCAGGGAAATACTAAATCGTAGTATCCTAAAGACTTGATTTGAAGATGCACAAAGAGAAGCTGAGGGATTAACCAAATACTTTTGTTAAAAAGCTTAGACATTGCAATGGTGAAGACTTAAGAATGAGTTCGATAGAAGGTGATGTTGGACAAAACAAGAAGCGAATAATAATTGAGCAAAAATGAAGAAGATGAGAAAAAGGAGAAATTGGGCAGAAATTTTGATGTAGAAAGTGACAAAGAAGTTAGTTGTTCACTATGAATTAAAAGAGCAAGGGAAGACACTTCAATAGGACACCAAACAGATAACAGGAATGATCATTGAATCCATTTTCATCACAAATTGTGGTGGTCCATTGTCTATCACTTTTTTAATTTGTATAATTTCGTTTAATTTGAGCCACTTTTTAAAATTCGTCACTTTTTTAAAATTTATCATTTTTTTTTTAATTTTGTCACTTTTTTTAGTTTTTTGTCACATTTTAAGGTTTTTGTCACTTTTTAAGAAGATAAAAAAAATGAAATAATATGTTGTATTTTCCTAACATAATCACATGTNCATGTGGATTGGCTTTTTTTTTAAAAGAAGTGACAATTTTTATAAAAAAAAGTGACATTGTGTCACATTTTCATTTTACACAGTATTTTTTACTTTCTAAAAACTTTTCATATGATTTTTCAAAATATCCCTAATTTTAAGGGTATTATTGCAAGTACTCCAATTGTTAACATACTTTAAGCCTCTGTTTGACCCTTCTTTACTTTTCATACTTATTTTCAATTATACATTAACGAAATAAAATATTTTGTACATAAAACCAAAATTTTTTTCCTAAGGCCCTATTTGCAAAAGATTTTCCATGGAAGTAAGAATTCATTTTCCATCTTTCCAGTTTTGGGTCGTTTGATTGTAAAATTTTTCCATGGAATCACTTTTCTTTGTTTCCTTCACACGCATGACATATTCCTTGAATTGGTGGAAAACCAATTCTCACCTATTCGGTGGGATTTGTTTTCCAACTAAGTTTTTTTATTTTTTTGAGGCAATGTAAATAAATTCCATGAATAATTGTGAAAAAATATTTCTCTTTAATGGACAATTTCTATGCAAAACAAAACCAAACGAATGGTAATCGGTATATTAATTTTTTTATTTTTTTATTTTTGACAATTGGAACAAATTTTAGACCCAATGGTAGAAAAAAAATATCACTTTAATGGACAATTTCCATAAAAAATGAAGCCAAACTGACGCCAAAATTTTAACATTTTTCAGGTGAAAAATTATACCAATCAAACACAATTAATTATAATTTTCAGTAAAACAATTTCTAAACAATTCAATTCCCTGAAATTCATTTTCTTTTTACCCATTTTCCACCTTCGCAATCAAACGGACCCTAATTTCTCTTATAATGTTGTCAAACAAGGGGGGCTAATCCTTAACTACCCGTGATTAATCAATTCTTGTTTTATATTAATAATCAATATTGCTTATATGCTATTTTTTCCTTCAAGATAATTAATCCAATATTTACCTATAATCCAATCATATTTGTAGGAAGTACGCGAATAGATAAAAGTACAAGACAAGACTATAGTATCAATTAAAATTGCATTAAGGGTCCGTTTGACTGCAAGTGTGGAAAGAAAATGAATTCCAAATAAAATAATTACTTAGAAATTCTTTTGTAGGGAATTGTTAATTAAATGTGTTTGATTAATATAATTTTCCACTCGAAATTTTTTTAAATTTTGTGTTCATTTGCATTAAAATTGTCCATGATAATTTTTTTCACACTTGATTATAAAATTTGTTTCTATTGCCAAAAAGTAAAACAAAAGGAAAAAAATTGTTTTCTAAAAAATCATTTTTTTTTCGTTTGCATCAAAATTGTCAATGAAAGTGAATTTTTTTTTATACATGGTTATGAAATTTGTTTCTATTGCTCATAATTCGTTTTTCCACCTAAAAGGTGGGAAAATCTTTTCCTTTCACGTCAATAATTAAGCGCGTGAGTGGAATTTTTTTTCACAATTTCCATGGCAAAAGGTGGACATCAAACACTGTCAACGATGGAAAATGAATTCCATTTTCCATGAAAAATGCATGCTATCAAACGCTGCCTAAGTATAAATGTTTGTACATCTTTATTTCTTATAGGATGTAGCCCCTGTTTGTTTCTTTTTTGACCCCTTTTTTTTTCAAAATAGGTGGGTCCCACACAGAGATAAAATTGTCCAAAATTGAGGTCGATGAACTGTTGCAACGGTACAAAATTGCATTTTTATGGGAAACAAACAGAAGAGTAGTTTTATTCGATATTTGAGCAGAAAAAATGTAGTACCTCTTAGTATCAAAACGAACACAAAAACAATACTAAAATTAGTCAAATAATAGCACGGAAACTTCAATAACAAACAATCAATCAACAATCACAAGATTTAATCCAAAAACAAACAACTTATTAAATTAAATTGTTATCAAGGTTTTATCAATGATCCTAACAACAAAACGTCTAGCCTACATGTTATTTCTGAATCTCAGATAAAAGTACAATCCTTAATCTTGAATCTCTTTAATATCTTAACATGTTCAACCAATCATGAGGGCACTAGTGTTTGCTTTGACCTTTAATAGCTTCAATCTAGCTAGAGCAGCCTTGGAATACAACTTTCGCGTCACTAGAAACTATATATCAGCAGCAGCAGCAGCAGTTATGGATATACTTTCTAATATTTTGCACTAACAATAATAGGTAAATAGGGATAACAAAATTATTACTAATTAATTTGTTGTAGTTTATTACAAGCAGACAATTCGTCTCAAAATAATAAATATATAAAACACGTAACTCTCCTAAAAACATGGGTTGATTTCTAAACATCTCGTCCCTTGTAGAGCCTCTATGAAGTTCCAGTAACATTTCTTACCAGTTCCACATTCCATATCAAAATCTTTAACTCGCAGCACAGTATCCACATTTTTTTCACTGTTTTGATCCAAATCCAAACAATTTTGCGAAAAAAGACTTATTCTTCCCCTGAGAGGCATTGGCTCCTTTTGCTGGTGTCTTTGCAGGAGCCTGCACTGGCATCTTCAAGGGAGAGGCTGTATGTTTACCTGAAGGAAGAATAGTGTTGATGTAAAGAATTAAACTCCAACCCCTTCTTCTGAAAGAGATACATTCATTTTGTTGTTATATAATTTTTGCCGAGAAAAAGAGTACAAGGTTTATTCTCCTACCTTTTAAGAATAAAGTTATTTGCAGTCGCTTGCTGCCGTAATCGTCTTACGTGGCATACATGTGGTAGTTAATTGTTTAATGCATGAAACAATAAAAAACTACCATATTAATGCATCAAATCACTAACCGCCACGTGTATGTAACGTAGGACGACTAAGATAGTGAGCAACTACAAATAGCATTACTCTCCTTTTAAACATCCCCACAAAATTCTTAATATAGTAGGAATATTAGGATGCAGGGATCAGTTAGTCCAACAATTTCCACTCGAATGAATAAAAAACGTAAGATGGATGATGAATATATAATCAACTTGGGAGCAAAATATTCAAGCTTCTCACTGTAAAGAATCCTCATTCCATCAGTATTTCCACAGCAAACTCCCTCATTTTAGTTAATTAAGTACGATTAGTTTATTTCCAATGCTTATAAGTCAATTTCACACTATCTCACTGTGACAAGTAGTAAAAGAAAAGAATTGTTTCTTTCTGTTGACAAACAAAACATGTATTTCGAAAAGATTTGTTCATCGTTAGTTTCTTAGTTCAATTCAGTTGCCTAGTTTTATCAGGATACACTTGTAAGAAAGGCTACTTAATCGATCCTTAACCTATCAAAAGAAGAAAAAAGAGACCGTTCTTTGTATTACAGCATATTTTAATTAAAACACGAGATGACTTGCACTAGCTTAGATTCTGATCCGAAATTACTGGATATAAATATAAGACTGCAAGCAGTTAAAATGCACTATATTACCTAAAATTGGTGAAACCTTCTGATTTGTTTCATCTTTCGTGTTATTTTGATTTTTCCCCTCGTTTGGTGCAATTCCTTCTTTGAAAGGGTACTTCTCAGAAATCCTCTGCTCTATTGATCCTCCACTATCTCGATTACCTGTAAGTTGCATGTGTGAAGTTCAATAAAGTCGGAGGCTACTCAACACCACAAAAAAAGAAAAAGAAGTTTCGACTATCAAGTTGGACAATACTTATCAAACATGTATTCAGAGTCTATAATTTATTGTCAACATCGAAGAACCAGTATGATGCGTGTTCAGTATAAAAGCCAAACATCTTGGTAGACATTGCCCACCCCATGTACGACATATTATGTTAGAGATAAAATCATGTAAACAAATTTCATGAATCCCGTTCAATATGATGAAGTAACATCAGTTATCATCGGCCTAGACAAATTAATTAAATATGACGATATGAGTTAGAGTCACATAAATCAGAGGGAAAATCCAACGGGTTTTAGCTCTAGTGAATCGAGGACTATTTTGCTTGAAAATAAAAAGTCCTTTCTTTGCACAATTTCAGCTTACTTTCACCAGAAGGCTTCCCGTAACTGTAGCGCAGAACTTCAAAGAAACCGTTATCCCTTTGATCTTGCATCACTGAAATGAAAAATCAGAAAATTGGAAAATAATAAAAAATGGGATTCTCACTATAGAGTTTACTACGAATTTTGAAGGGAATTCTCATATTTTCAAAAGATGAAAACATACATTGATCAAAAAGAGCATTCCTATAATTAGAAGCGGCGCCAACTGAGAGAAGCTGAACTGCCTCTGCATCCCTACTCATAGACAACTTGGTAGAAATATTTAAATTTTGTGTGTCTAATAGAATACCTGCAAGCTGATAAGAATATATTAATGAGGTCCAATTGCAGAGTGGATCCATCATTTATTTTCTCTTTTAATTTCAAGACGAGCAAAAAGATGATATAAATTGTGTATAACACAAGAAAGTCGAGAAATTTTATTTTATTCTACCAGAAGTTTTTTCACAATAGGGGTTTGAAGTAGCTCGTATGCATCCTCACAATAGTTGTCTGTCACAATAGTGCATCCTGATCCAACCTAGAGCAATTGCAAAATAATAATTTAATCTTAGATCATTTTCACGCTTCTAAATTTTCTTGAAAATGGAAATCATGTATATATTTGCTTCCAATTGAACAAAATAAGTTAAACAACCTCGCCATTGGTTCGGAGGATATCCTCTCCAACAACAAGCATGCTCAACTGCTTTTCCATGATCATTGTTTCCATGTCAACCTGATTGGAAATAGCACCAAGATTATCAAGAACAATTTTCCAGCAAATTTTCTAGATAACAAAAACAATGTAATTAGGTGATCCTGTACTATCTGCATATGATATTTCTGCCACTTGAATATAGCTTCAAAAGCTTTCACTCAGTCAATTTTATAGCTGTCCTACTAAGAGCTAGAGTTACGGGTTAAGCCCTAATCTGCTTATACAAGAGCATTAATCAGTTGAATGAATTAGAAACAAACAATGCAACATACACATTTATATTGGTACACCTTTAATGATAGAGCTACATCCACTATACCTGGTAGGTTTGTATTATAATGGATAAGAACGTAAAAATTTTCTCACGCCTCTCATGCACACAAAATCAGCTCTAAAAAGATCCTTAATATAGTACAAATATCATTGGATAACTTTACAGTATGACTAGGCTCCATACAATGCAACCAAGCAATCCCAATCATGCACAGCCTTGTCACATTATAACTTAGAAATTGTTGACAGATTCATTGAGAATAAAGATAATATATGCAGAACTGCACAGAGTTCTATGTCTAATAGTATTTCACTAGACAATAAACTCAAAACCACACATTTAGTTCAAAATATTTTGAGATGTCAAATGAAAAATATTTTTCCTTGGGCGAAGTTGATTCTTTGAGGAGTGATTTGATGAAAATGATTTTTTTTTTTTTCAGAATACATGGTTAATGTGCGATTGAATATGATCGTAGGCAAACGTTAATTTGAAAAATCAGTTTCTACAAAACAAAAGCATTTTTTAAGAAAAAAACATCATCTTAAGATTGACAAAACTCTCCCATCTCTATACATTCGCTGTCAATGAATCTTGGACTAAGTCTTTGAAATTTTGCTTAAAACAAAAATAATGTGTTAAATTAAAACAAGCAAGTTTTGAAAAAAAAATTGCTAAAAAGATAACTCTAAAGGCGAAAAATCCGCCAAGTGAAAGTTTAAAAGTTAATGGCGAGGACAGATACGCTTTAGTAGAATAGTCTGTCATATACACAAATTGCATGATTTCATCTGCATTATGCTCTTTCAATTGGTTTCAAAGCATAACTGATGAGCTCTTATTGCCTTAAAAGCTTCATCGACATACACACACAAACTGAAAATATGAATTTAGACACAATTAATTGTGTGAGAAACAAAGATTAAGAAAATATGAGTACCTCATCAGCAAAGAGCAAAGCAGTGGCATCAAGTCCAACATGGTGAAATAGCCAAGCCGCTTGTTGCTGCTTCCACATTTTCCGTCTCCTCATATTCATCACAGGTACCACCATCTCCAAATTAGTCTTATCTCCGTCTCCTCCCTTTTTATTAGCCCTCTTTTTGTTCTCTAACAACCACGCGTAACATATGGCTGCTACCATTGAGCTCGTGCCTAAATCAAAATTAAATCGAAAGTCTCCCTTAGAATCACACAATTCCATCCAGGCTTTGTCAAGTGCATAAACCATTCACACTATCACTTTAGTTTTTTGAAGTGGACGTAAATCACTAATATGTTTGGTACAGATTATTCGACAAGATTTAGGAGAGAATAGTGTCTTATGCTATCAAATTGTCCCTACAAAATATTCCATATAGCATCAAAACGAAGAAAAAAAATACACTAGTAACAGAAATACAAAACTTAACTGTTTGAAGGTCCAGAGAGCATAATCTTTGCCTTCCCATTGATCTCCCCACTCATGATTTTCCCAATTTTGATCCTCTGCTCTTTCAAGTACTTGTTCAGTTCCTGACCCTTCAAATCTCCTTCTTTCAACTGACCATCATCCACATTGCTCTTCTTCAAGGTCCTGTTAGTGCTACATGTTGAAGATGATATGGATCTCCGGTGAGCTGACTCCACCAAGTTCCGGGGTGGGGACAGGACCTCGTCCTCCGGTCTGGAGCAAGTGGTGGAAGATTTCGACCTTCGGTGGGCCGACTCAATAAAATGTTTTGGTGGGGAGAGCAGTGGAGTATTCAAGATTGTTGTTGGTGCATTATTTGTAGTACTTGCAGTATCTTTGAAAGTTCGTTTGGAAACGGAGGGAGGGCTAGTTGGGGTTGGGATAGGCTGTGACAGTGGTGCATTGGGGTCATTTTGGAACCGCGACCTTCGGTGCACTGATTGGCGCGGTGGAAGAGGTGGGCCCACGAGACTACTTGGACTTGGGGGTGTGGGGTCAGGGGAGATGGCAGGATAGGGATTTGAAGTAGGACTATTGGGGATTTTGAGCGGGTTGGAGAACGACTTTTGGACATCTGATGCAGGAGATTCTCCGCCCTGTGAAGGGTCACTATTTATTTCAGATTTGTTCATGGAAAGTTTTGCTGTTTTTGACAGGATTTCCCCACTGAAGCTTTCCCTTGCTCTATGCCTGCTTTTTTTTCAACAAAAGTGATTATTTTCATTCTTTATCCTACACTCAAGAATTCGAAAACAAATGCAAGAAAATGAGAACAAAAGAGGATAAAACTGATAACTTAAAAGAAGCCTTCAGTTGATTATGTTGGATACATAAAGACTCTACTTGTATTATTCATTTATGACATTTTGTTTGACAAGTCGGACTATACAGTACCGAACATGCATTACTAGGCGATTTTAGTAATATATATGACCATATAAGTTTTCAATTATTTACTCTTTTCATAAATATCGATAGGAAACTATTAAAAAAAATAATAATGAAGTAACTAGAACCTGGAGATAAATATTAGGACTATTATTTCAGAGCAGCCAGATTACTTACCTTCTAGCAGACCTGTCGAAAGGGTCTCTCTTCTCGAGAGACGAAGTCGATAGCCTGCCTTGAGAAGTAGCAAATCTCGGGGAGCCAACGAGTCGAGAGGGTGAATCAATCCGGGAAGGAGAAGACGCCACCATGCGCTTCGCTTCCTGAAGCCATTCCTGAGTTAATCTGCTGCTAACACTTCTTTTACTCGGATCAAAATCTTCTTCAACGTGATCATCAAGAACGTGCCCATTTCCAGTCAGATTATACGCTTTCTTTTCCGTGTTTCTTGCCCCGTAGAACAAGTCATTCATAAAATCAGTAAGGTCTGGCCCTTGTTCATTTCGACTAATTACACGTTTACTCTCTACTAGCTTCTTCTGCTGGCTGATGGAGCCTCTCCCTTCATTCGACAAGTTTCTGCTGAATCGTCTGTCCATGGATTCTGAATTCATTAAGCCTAAACGAAGAATTTTTCTCCGATCTGGAGATGTTGGAAGGTGCTGAACCAACTCCTGACTGAAATTTCAAAATGAGACACAAATATTTTGCCTAGATTATAATACTACAGAAGACAGGGTTAATGAGTTATATTAAAACCTTGGCTCGCCGGCCTTGAGGGCTGTCTTTTCTCTATGTAATTTTGTATATTCGGCCTTTGTTGGTACTTCCAAGTTTTCACAGTATGGTATATGAATAATTTATATAAATAGATTTGTCTTGTTTACGATAGTTTAAACTTCTAAATAATATGAGCGAACATGATTTTAGGTTCAAATTTCGTCGTTGCCATTCTGTTAAAATTGTGTACATGTTTGTGTTAAGAGAAAGTTTTAATAAATAAATTTTCGCCTCTGAGCTGTGTTTGTTCCTCATTTTCTAAAATTTATTTTCAACAACACATTTTATGGGATGTACGTCTTTTATCAAAATCTATTAAAATTGATATTTAGCTAAACCAAACAGGGGCTAAAACTGCTTAAACTTTCAAATGATATGCACTCCTATCAAAGAAATCAAAATAAAATGATAATGATCGCATTTTGATTCAAATTGTAAAGGTTTTCATAGGCATTTGGACTCTAAATCACGACTTTCAGATTCAGTGGCCTCATTCAACCAAGTTATGAAATTAAATTAATGTTTGCCCAATAAAGCGTGATATTATTACTATGCTTTTATTTTGGATTGAACTTGTTCATTTTGTTAAAAAATATGAAAAAATAATATAATTGAGACATAAATAATATGGAAGAATAACAGAACTTTTAATTGTGTATCGATGCATTACAAAGAGAAATACTCATTGATAGGGAACGTAAATTGAAAGATTTACTAATTATATAATTTAGTACTATAAAAACAATTTACAGAAACACAGGGCCGACCCTGGCCCAAGGCAGACAAGGCCACTGTCTTGGGCCTCAAAATCTTGAGGGCTTCAATAAAAAAAAAATTCAGCCCAAATCTGCCCCCGTTCAAAATCCACCAAATCCATGAAAAAATCATTTGTTACCTTAGGGTTATAGGAAAAAAGAACTCAAGAGACAGTGAGGGCGATTGCTCTCATATCACCACTAGAAAATCTACTAATTTCCACACACAATTGTTGCATTTACCTTCGCTTTAGAGAAACCGATTGGCTCCTTTATTCAAACAAGAAGTTCTTGATTCTATTGATGGCTTTCAAAAATGTCAAAAAAATTGAGCCCAGGAAAGATTTTATATTATTGTTCTTTTTTTTCAAAATACGTATTTATGATGAGATGTTTTGTTCTTGAATCTTTTAATATTTTTTGTACTTTTGGTTTTGTGTTTAAAGAGTTTATGTGAATAAAAATTGAAAATGTTGGAAACATGGCAGCTCCACCCTTAAATTATCTGAATTTTGGAGAATCTTGTTGATATTGTCATGTTTATATTCTCAAATTGGATACACTACCATGTTTATCAATTAAAATTTCTAGGGAACGGAGGAATGTTAACTTGTGAATCTTTTGATAATGCCTTAATTTGTCCATTGTTATCTTGTTTGAAGTGGAGTTAAGGTAATTGGTGTAACTGGTTAGGATTTGCAAGTGAAACAGATTCGGCTCGAATATCGTTTGACCAGAAGCATTCTTTTTGTTTTACTATGTTGCCATTATAACCTAAGCAGGCAAATAAGTGAGATCCATGAATTGAAGTGTTCTTGGATTAACTTAGAAAATTACTTGAAGCATAAAGTCTTTGTTTAAATATATATATGTTATTTATTTAAATATTTAAGTATTTTTACGCTTGTAAAAAAATATAATTAGGGGCCTCGAAATGGTTAGTCGCCTAGGGCCTCAAAACACTTCGGGCCGGCCCTGCAGAAACATATCGCTGACATATTTACTTAAATTTTCTTATACATCTCCTCATATGTAGCGCGGAATTTTTTTTTTTTTGTTAACCTTGACATGCATACATTTATACAATAAAATATTTTACATGTCAGCCCAAAATTTTTCCATTTTTTTTAACCATACATTCTCTAAAAAATTTAAAACTCCATTTTCTCAAAATAATTGTTGTTAAACATGGGCTAAATTTTATAAGTGGAAGAGAATAGTTGAAGGGAAGAGTTCAAAAGTAAGATATTAACTATAAACAATTCAAAAATCAGGTTTTAAGTTTGATTAATGCAAAAATCAGATTTTTAGTTAATTAATTAAAAATATTTATGAATTAAATATAATAAGATCATAGTTATATAATTAATGGTCACATATACATAATTATAGGTCATATGTCATATATTTTAAAATTAATTGATCACGGATTATTTCGAGGTCACGGATTAAAAATTTTGTACGTCAAATATTATTTCGAGGTCATAGCTTAAAAAATTTGTACGTCACTCATTATTTCGAGGTAACAGATTTTTAAATTAGTTTGTCAAAGATTATTTTTAAGTCACATATTATCAAATTTTTAAGTCACAGTTGAGTAATTAGTCACAGATTACCAACATTTGGTCACAGATTACCAACATTTGGTCACAGACTACCCACTGTCTACCCCCCACCACGCCCTACCCCACCCCAAAATGAAAATCCAGAGCCCAGTCACTGTCGCATCGTCTAACCATCATCGTCAATATTGTACCGTCCACCATCTCCACTTCAATACAGGTTTCCAACAACTTCTTAATCACAAATAGTCACCTGTGATTAATCACCACCTAGCTATGCAACCCATCCTCCTCACAGACAGTCGCCTCCAATACTTTGTCATCACCGTTCACCGTCAAAGCACAAAGCCCCACCAATCCATTCACCTGATCACCTCATTTTCATGGAAAACCACCACCAATGCCATATCACCACCGTTCACCACCAAAGCACGGGCTTCCTCACCGTCATCACCACAGACAAGCTCAAACCATATATTTAGCGTCGCTACCACCACCATCACACCTCCATCGCCTGTAACAATAGTCCAACAACGCCACCACTGTACCACCAGCACTACTTGCACCAACAATCTAACATACAGCCCACACACAGACGTACAAATGGCACACAGACAGACATATCATACCATGTTGCCACCACTATCGCACCGGCGTCACCACCTTTATCAAAACCCAACACACTGACACAAAGGGATTGCAAATCGCACCACACAGCCACACAAATCGCACGACCCAGATTTATATCATAATTTTGACATAAATTGCCGCAGCTTGAAGATGTTGTAGATCTCTCACCAGCACGATGCCCTCGCGCCCCCAATTGAGAGGGGGGAGGGAGGAGAAGAGGCGAGAGATAGAGAGGGAAGGAGGCGAGACACAGAGAGGGGAGGGAGGAGAAGAGGTGAGAGACAAAGAGGGGAGGGAGTAGAGAGGTAAAAATTAGGGTTATGGGTTTTATATATTATCTGATTTTTGAATAA